CCAGCACCCAGGGCTGCATCGGGATAGGTCCATGTGGCTTCTCCTTGGGGATGTCTTGTAGGAAGTCAATCTTGCAAGCTGAAGCAGGGAACTGCTAAGGCAGCTGCACCCGATGCAACCATCACAAAACAAGAGACCCGAGAACTAGAAAGGTGAGGCTCACCACCCATTTATCCCTCCGCCTTTCAATTAGCCCCACATGTCATTATCGGCCAGGTTGGCACAATTAACTAACTCACTTATGTACCCATTTTGTCTTCGGCTATTGTGTCAGGGAGGTGACCATCACAGAATGCCAGATTATTAGAACAAAGTGTTCTTGTGTTGAGGGAGTACTTGAGTGGAGGTCCAGTGTCCATCTGCTACCTTAATTCTTAATATACAGATATAAATACATAGATCTATTTCCCTTTCACTATATATAAATATATTTACATGTGTACATGCCTGTATTTAGACCTTTATAAATGTCCTTTGCTTCCTGGTTCTTTCCTCTATTTACTTTTACTTCCCTCTTGTCCCACCATCATGTTCAGCCTTCATTTGTTTAGTAATTCCTCACTGTTACATTGCCCTTGATTAAACCCCACTAGGCATCCTACGCTCTTCTCTCCACTGATTTTACTTCACTTGTTGTTCCCCTGTCCCTAGGTTGGTTCCCTCCCCTTCTATTCTCCCCTCTCCCCTTCTCCCCTCGAACCATCAATTCCGTTGTTTTCATCTCCAAATTGGTTATCCTGCCTGTCTTATCTAGCTAGACATGCAGAGACATTAATAAGCGCAAAAACCAGGCAAAGTAAAACAAAACAACAAAGGAAGACAAAACCAACAAAACAATATCAACAACAACCAAAAGCAAAGACAAAATAACAAGAAGAAGAAAGCCAATGACAAAAAGGGAAAACCGTATATAAATAGTTCCAGGTCTGTTTTTTGACCTTTGGGAGTGTTTTCCAGTGTAGTCTGATGGGGTGCCACACTCTTTCTCCAAAGTCTATTTTGGGTATTCCCCGGGGACTTCATCACTTTGCTCCCCTTGCTGCTCTGTTGCATGCCCTTAGTGTTTCGCTCCAGTGCGATGGGGTCAGATTAGGCACAATTCCTGCACTGTGTTTCCAGTGTTGGCCCCCGCAGTACTATGGTTCAGTGAGGGACATCGTGTCTCATGGGGGCCAGCCCTATGGTCCTCTCTGTGCATTGTCTGCTCTGAGCAGGAATATCGTCCTCAGGGCTTGGTGGGCCAGGATGTGCTCCCCTCCTCTCCATCCCTCTTTGTTTCTCCTGTGAGCTCTAAGCAGACGTGGCCCCTCCCCAAGCTGTAGCTTCAGTGTTGTCCTCTGAGGTGCATTCTTCTGGGGGAGGTGGGTGGTCCACATAGTTGGAATTGGGGCTGGCCCTGCAGACCTCTCTATTGTTTCCCTGGTACATGCTGGTATGTTGTATCCATGCCTTGGCGCATCAGGTTGAAGCCTGGTCTCTCTCCCTCTCCTGTGGAGATAGAAACAATACCCTCCCCTTGGGTGGGTTAGTGCCCTGCTCCCTCACCCCTACCCATGTCTCTCTCTCTCTTCTTTCCCCCTCCTATTTAGTTGGCTGCCATATGTATCCCTGGATTGGGTTTGGCCCCTGCCTTAGTACCTGGACCTCATCCCAGGCTTTCCTGCCTTTAAAATGACCCTTTAAGGACCTGTGTCCTCCCACAGTTCAACAGGTCTTCTGGTTCATTACTGTTCAATGCATCAAATCTGTTCTTGAGATGGTCTCAAATTCAAGTGGGATAGGCTCAAAGTCAAATTTTGCTCTTGAGGACTTGTTTTAAGTTTCTTTAGCTCAACCTGAACTTACGTGTGAGTAATTGACGACCTGTTCCACAGTCAGCCCCTAGCCTCGTTTTAGCTGCTATCGAGGCTCTCGTCTTTTCCCACAGGTGTAGTCCATTTGATGTCTGTGCATCCCATCTGGAGAAGTCCACCGTTTGCTTCGTTGAGAAAAGGTATTGGCTATGAACAAATCGTTGGCCCTGCAATATTTTATCTGTGATCTCCAGCTTCATCCTATCACCCAAATCGTATTTTCTAACTACCGTTCCTCCCTCTTGGTTTCCAACTTTTGCATTCCAATCACCCAAAACTTATCAGTGCATCTTGATTGCATGTTTGATCCATTTTTGACTGAAGACGTTGATAGAAGTCGATTTCTGCATCACTAGCTTTAGAAGTTGGTACATACATTTGAATACCAGCTATGTTGATTGGGTTTCCTGGAATGCACAGATACAATACCATCTCAGACAGCATTGCACTGTAAGATAGATCCTGAAATCTCCTGACTATAATGCAGTGCCATTCCTCTTGATTGTGTGATTCCCAGCAGAGTAAACCATATGCTTTTCTGATTAAAAATAGCCAAGACCAGTTCATTTCAGCTCACTCGTGCCTAAGATATCAGTCTTTATGCTTCCCATTTCATGTTTGATGACTTCCAATTTTCCTAGATTTATACTTTGTACATTCCATGTACCGATTATTAGTAGTTTGGGGGAGCTTCTTCTTTTGAAGCTTCATCGTCTTATTCCCACAGGCTTTACCCTATTCACGTCCTACGGTCCACTGTACTTGGGCAGTCTTCTTAGGTCCTATTCTGCGTGCCCTCTGACCTGAGTCGTCCTCCTGGTGTAGCGCTTGCCAGTGGGCTGCTGACCACAAGATCAGCGGTTGGAAACCACCAGCCGCTCCTCGGGAGAAAGACGGGTCTGTCGGCTCCCCTGAAACTCGCCAGGCAGCTCCTCCCTGTCCTATGAGGGTCACTATGAGTCGGCATCGAAGGGGGCTCATCTTCTGGCGCTACCTGACCATGGTCTCTTCAGTACTGGGCAGTGTTTCAATGCTCTACGTGAGGTTTCAGAGGTTTATTCCTCCGAAGTAGGCAGACTAGTCCTTCTTCATAGTCTGTTCTGTCCGTCCTGTACGGTTGCTATAAATCGGAATCAACTTGATTGCCTCGCTTCAACAGGAGGGTCCTGGAGAGGGAGTGCTCTTGTTGACATTGTTGGGAAGCCCATAAAAATGTCTACAATTAATCCAATGTAGCGGCCGATCTCCCCCGCCCCCCCTCAATATGGAAATGTCCATCGATTGAAACAGTTACAAGAATCGAAAAAAGTGGCCTCTGGGATGTGGTGCTGGAGGAGGGGAGGAGGGGACAAGGGACTGTCGTTCTTCATCTCTAACTGCATTTAAATCAAATTAAGTCAGATGAGGTAGTGCCATTACGTCTCCCCTCTGCTTCCCTGGAAACTCAGCCTGTGACTCCGAATCTTAAGTCACTCGCACCCGCCAGCTGACAAACGCTTGAACGTCAGACAGGCTCCGTCTCCATGGCAACAGAGGACGGGGAGGCGGGGCTACCTATGCCAGGCGCCTGACCATTCAAGGCTGGGCGGCTCCGAACCCGGCTGCGCCACGTCGGGCTAGGCGAGCTCCACGCACGGGTGCCCTGCCCCCTGCGACGCACTTCCGGCGCTGGCCCCGACCCCCCAGGCCGCGGCCGCATGCTCTCTTCTGAAGGTGCTGGCCGGCACGCTCCCGCACCCTGGCCGCCCGGCCATTGGCCGCTCTGTCTGGCCCGCACTGAGCCCGCCCAGCCCGTGACGCCTCCGTGCGGGGTGGCAGGGGCGGTGCAGGCGTCGGGGGCCCGGCGACGCCTCTGCAGGTTGTTCCCAGGTGGCCAAGACAATTCCAGTCCGTTTCTCTGCCCGGTCCATGTCCTGAGGTGACCTTGTCTAGGAAGCAAGGCCAGACCTAGGAGGCCTGGACACCAGTCTCCGGGCCCCCGGCCGCGCACCCACTAGTGAAACCAGGCCCCCAACACGTATATATTGTAACAGCTCACCACCATCGCACCGCCCTCTGGTCAACACCGTGTTCAGACCCCCCCTCGGCCAGACTCCGGCCTGTGTACAACCTGCCTTCCCCGACTCAGGGAGGTCAGGCGTGCTGAGGACAGCAGAGCAAGGGACCAGGCCCAAGGTCCTGGGAGCTGCGCGTGGGAGGGGACCGTAGCAGCGCCCCCTACAGCTCGTTTGAGTTAGTGGTGCCGCGAGGCCCCCTGGGAGTTGTGGTCCGGGTCCGCCCCCCACGCTCGGCCTGAGTAGGCTGAGAACTACAACTCCCGGCAGGTCCGGCGGCGGCCCCAGGAAACCGAAGTGCTGGGGGCTTAGGGGCAGCCTCTGCTCGGTGGGCTGCGGGCGCTACGCAGCGGGGTGGGCAGCGGCGGCAGGGCGTGCAGTCCTGGCCGCCGCCGAGCCACCGAGGGCCGGCGTCCCAGCACCCACCCGCCCGCGTAGACCGTGACGGACCGACTGGCTGGCTGGCTGGCTGACAGCGCTTCTCAGGGCCCCCAGGCTCCCCGACCGATCTAGCGGGACCGAAACTTCCGGGCAAGTGGACGGGTCATTGGGATCCTGAGATCCGGACCGGGGCCTGCATGGGTTGCGGGTGCGGGACGACTTCCTCAAGGAAGGGGACTGGAATGACAAGGGGCGGGGCGTCCCCTAGGGGTGCCGGCGGCAGGGCTGGGCGCCCTAGCCTCGGACTCTTGGGAGCCGGGCGCGGGGCGGGAGACAGGGCAGCCGCTCCTACTCCCCCTTTCCCGGCGCTGGGCCAGCCGCTCGCGCCCGGTGCGGGTCCCAGAGCCCTGGTCGGGGCGCAGCGCGGGCCTGACGTCTGCAGAGCCCGGCGACTCTGGGCGGCAGGTGGCGGCCCAGCGCTTCAGCTGCTGCGCGCCCGAGACAGTGACTGCAGCAGGCGCCGGGTGGCCAGATCACAGGGGTCTGACGACAGGAGGCAGGCCCCGGGGAGCTCGAGGTGTTGGGCGTGGGCCTGGGAACTAGCATCCAGACAGCGGCAGCCGGAGGAGCAGACGGGGCCGCCCTAGGCGCGACGCGGTCCCCGCAGAGGTGCGGGTGCTAACTGTGCTTCTTGGCGTTTCCGTGGCTACAGGGTTGATGGCTCAGGACGTGCCCTGAAACGGCGCTGCCAGAGGCCAGTCCCAGTGTCCAGGCGTCTGCGCTGCAGCCCAAGGGTCTCAAGGTGGGTGGCTTGGCTGGCTGGACACCCACACTGGGGAGCTTGCCTGGTCTTGTATAGAGATGAGCAGAGTGGGCTGAGGGCCTGTGTCTCTCAGCCCTCTGGTGTGGTTTGTTGTTTTGAAGGGGGTGTGCATCTGTAGGGGTGAGGGGGATGATCAGTGGTCTTGCCTCTCCACCTCCCACCTGAGCCATTCGGAAAATCAGCCAGGTATCACTGACGGCTGCGATGGCCACAGTGTCTGACTCCCATGCTCCTGGCCCCTCCTCTCACCTCCAGCCTTCCCTGTTGCTCCAGCGCAAGCAGGTGCAACAGGTGCCTTTATGGCGGGCGGTCTGCCTCTACTCCAGGCAGCTCTGCATAGCCAACAGGTGGTGCCACCCCAACCGTAGGGTGTGCCCTGCTGCTGGCCCTGTCCAAAGGGTTGCCACCCAGGTGGCCACGATGAGAGGTGAGGATGGCTCAGCCATCACCTCGGGTTCTTGACGCTAGGTTGATGTTCCAGCCCTTTCTCTCAGGCTTTTGCCCTACTCCCTGGGGACTGGATCCCACCTGCCTTAGGCCTCCTCCCCACGCCGTGCCCTCCCCCATTTGAGAAGTGTACCTGCCTCTTAGCCAGAGTTGCCTCATGGCGAAAGCCTGAGGGATTCACCCATTTTTTGCCAGTTAATTGTGACACACACACTGTCAGTTTTCAAAGGCGCCAGGACAGGACCCGCAGCCTCGCTGGCAGATGTGACAGTTCAGTTCCCGTGGACTGTTTTCTTCGGAATGAAGGTGGTTTGCCAGCCTCCCAGCTAAACACGATCCACTTTTCTGGCCTGTTCAAGCTTCTAGAATAAACCGTTCCCCACTTGGGAAAGACCCCTTGGAACCACTATTCTGAATTATGATTGGAGGCTGCTCTGCCCCAGGGGAGCTGATGGGTTCTCGAGGGGCGCAACCAGGGACAGCAGAGCACTCCATCAACCTCCTGTGTGGCCACCAGTGCACATGCCAACCGAGTGAGGCACCCATCTCCCCGTCCCCCCCCCCCACACTCACTGGCTGGTGACCCACCTGCTGCCCTTCTGTGCTCTGTGTCGACATGGCTGTTGGGTTCCCATAGGACATCTAGGCAGCTGGCCACGCCGGGGCCTCGGGGAGTCACAGATAAGCACCTGAGATGCTGACACGAGGCTGCTGTGTGATGTCAGGTAAGTTCTAACTTTACGGGGTTGACCCTGTTTGTCACCCGAGTCCTACTACAGTGATTGCCTTAGAGGTCATTGGAAAAATCGGAAGCGTCCGTCTCTGTGCGAGGCACACCCAGGCCAGCCTGGGCACTTTGGAGAGGATGGTGGAATCTGGTGTTTCTGGTTAAGAAAAGAGTCAGCACTGGTGAGCCTGTTTCCCCCCCAGCAGAGCCCGATTTGCAGCGCTTACCTCTCTACGTTTTAAGTGCAGCGACGCGAATGGTCAGCACCTGTTCCTTAGCGACCTGAAGCAGGGCTGCCTGGCCATCAAGGGCAGCTGGCACCCCGGAGCCGCCGCTGGCTCTGAGCTTCAGTGTTTCTGGGTAGGCAGGGTGTGGGCCCAGCCTTGGGTGTCTGCACTGTCCTCAGCTGCCAGCTAGCCTAGAGGGAACCAGCTGGACCTGGAGCCATAAGGGGCAGTGACAGGAAGGTAACGAGGCAGCCCGGAAACGGCTTGCTATCCGAGAAAGGCTGGCAAGGGGAGATGGCGGGGGTGTGGCTGTGACTGAGAGTCTGGCTAGCGGTTCTCAACCTGGGGGTCGTGAACCCTTTGGGGTCGCCCCATTCATCACAGTAGCAAAATGATAGTGATGAAATCACAACAAAAGTCATTTTATGAAAAAGAAGTAATAATAGTGTGATGGTTGGGGGGGCGGGGGGGTCATCACCACACGAGGAACTGTATGAAAGGTCACAGCCTGAGGAAGGTGAGGACCCCTGCTCCAGGCTCTTCATCTTGGGTGCTCTGGGCAGGGGCCTGCCCGAGTCTGCGCATGATCAGCCTGGGTGCAGAGTGCAGGAACTTCAGGCACAGCGCCCCCCAGTCTTAACCCTAAGGCCTCTCTGATGCCCTGAGGATGGTAATGGCTGGGCAGCTCTTGACTTGAATCCTTTGTCAGGAAGTCTTATGTTCAGCCAAGCTGGCCCCCCAGGCACCCACAGCACCTGACCATCCTACAGGGTGGGGCGGGCTCTCGCCACCTGAAGCTGAGACAGTTGACCTCCTGGGTGGTAGGCGGTGGGGTACCCGGTGCCTCTGCCTCTGCCAGTCCTTGTTGTGCTCTGCCCCCTCCCCACTCACCCCCTGGAGAGCGAGCCCTGAGACCGGAGGGCTTTTCCGGGTACGACCAGTGGTGACATGTGGGGCCCTGGGACAGTAACCAGGCTGTGAGCCCTGGGGTTGGGAATGGATGATTAATGCTGAGGTCCCAGACCCCGGGACACTGGTGACAGACTCCAGGCTGGTCTCAGGTTGCTTGAGAGGCAAGAGGGAGGGAGGTGGAGGAGCAGGCTGGGAAGCCCCCCGAGCCAGCCTCCCAGAGGGCCTGGAACTGTACGGAGTCCCTGCAGGGCAGCAGGGAAGGGCTGAGGGACTGTGGATCCTGCCTCCACTGACATGGGGCTGAAGCGGGCAGTCAGGCTTCCTGGAGTGTGGCTCTGCCGGGGCTGGAACCTGGGTGTGCCCCGCTTCCTGAGCCGTGCTGCCATGTCCCAGTCAGTGGGAGAACCAGGGCAGGGGCCCCAGGCGTCTCTGGGCCCTGCTCAGGACAGTCTGGCATCAGGACAGCTAGTTCAGGGTGCAGTGCCGAGCGTGGAAGGGGTCCTTCCAAGTGCTGAGGGTGGGTGGGCCCCCCCGGGAGGGCCCCCCACACACACACACACCCTGCCCCCCTGACCCAGTGTTAACTGTGGTGTCTTGACCCTCAGCTCTAGGAAGGCAGCTGGGACGAGGGTGGGGGGAGGGGTTTACTGGCTGGCAGGCCTCGCCCCAGGGCGACTGCTAAATATATGTGTGTGATGCAAACAGGTGCAGGCCAAAGGTACACACGGTGACCTCTGCCTGTCGCCAGCCTCGCACACACTCCACCCTGTTCCTCACCCTGAGGCTGGAGAAGGGCTTAGGGCAGGAAGCAGCCAGCAGGACCGTGGGTGTGGATGGGGGTCCCTCCGAGGGCCGTGGCCAGTCTGTCCTGTCTTCCCAGGCTTACTTGTGTGGTCAGCAGCTGCCTATCTCTGCCCCACTCTGGCAAACTCCAGCGAAACAGGGCTGGATGAGAAGGGGGCGGTGAGGAGACTCGTGTGTCCCACCTAGCCCTGGCTGACTCTGGGGGTCATCTTGCCCCCCACCAACCCTTGTGTCTGCAGGGAAGGTCCTGGCCTGGAGCGGCCTGAGGGGTAGCCTGTGTGCCCCTTCAGTAACTTCCCACCAGTGAGCACAGTCTCCAGCAGAGGCAGGGAACTCTCCCAGAGAGTCAGCGGCCTTTACCAAGGAGGGGGCATAGAGGCTGGCAGGCCAATCGGGCTGTGCAGAACTTGGCTCCTTGGGAGGGGACTTAAGACTGTCACAAGAGCTGGGCAGGGAACCGCTTCTGTCCTCCATCTGCACATCCCTCCACTCAGTGGTGGGTGAATGTTGAGGCGGGTCGGGGCCGGTTTGGCACTGGGCTATATGGCAGTGCCCAGATGTGGTGCTCACTGCCCCGGCAGGCAGGCAGTCTATATGATGTGGTCACCCTAAGTGGTAATCATGTCCAGCTTCTCTGCTGGACCCTGTAGGGCCTCAAGGAGTGGCCCTGGCCTTGGCTAGACTGGAGGCACTACAGAAGGACATGTGGCCCCACTGCCCTGGGCACCTACTGGGGCGGTCTGGTCAGCCTAGCCACTTGGCATTTGCTCCTAGGACCCTTCTGTCTGGAGGTGTCGCAGGCATCCCCCATGGAGTAGCCCTGGGCTTGGTGATGTACCACGAAGGGAGGAAGAAGCTGCTCCCATGATGCCGTGCTGCCATCTGCTGTGGGTGGGCAGGGCCACGCAGGAGGTTGCGACACAGGATGCACTGCTGGACCTATCAAGGCAACCTGCTGCCCCCTTTAGGAAGGAGGCAGCTCCATTTGGTCAGAGCCTTCTAAATCGTGAAGGGGCCAGGAAGCTTTGTCCTGGATGTCCGTGGAGGCCCTGGAGGGCCTGGCACAGGGAAGCTGCGGGGGAAAAGTGGGATTTGCAGAAGGTCCGGCTGGCCAGGTCTGTGAGCGAGGCTGCAGCCTCGGTGAGCCAACAAGCTGTGACCATGGCAAGACAGGTGTATTGTCTTCATTAGGGCTCGCTGGTTTACCTCTCTAGGTGCATTACAACGGCTGCGCAGACAATATTCATGCTAAAAGGGCTTATTCAGCAAGTCGGCTGGTTGTAATGCCAGCCAGAAAGGCTCAGGATACAGTGTGTCAGGACATGTCTCAAAGTTCATTCAGGTCTGCTAGTAAACGCCCAAAGGGGCAGACCACTCCGCTGGAAGCCTCGGCCTGAAGACATTCTGCTCAAGTGCCATGGCTCAGCAAACCCCGCTCCCTGAATTAAGTGCCCAGAGGTACCCCACTCCAGAAAGCCTCCTCTTGAAGGCATTCAGCTCTACTTCTGTAATCCAGCAAGCCCAGCTTCCCCAGTTACGTGCCCAGAGTCACCTTACACTGCAATCCAGCCTCCTGCCCCAAAGCACTCAGCTTGACTTGTTCCTGGGCTGGGAATCCATCACTCTGTTTCGTGTTCCGGCTCCTGGTTCTGCTGCGGTTCCTCTGATGTCACAGCTGTCTTCTGGATCCAGGAGGTTCACTTCGCAGGGATCTTGGATCCAGAGGTCATGCTCCACTCTGCTCCACTCCCCTGGGTCTTGCTGCTTCTCAGAGGGTTAATTTTATACACAGCAAGATGGTATTCCAGGGAATGCTGTTGACAGTTACTCACAGGTGAATCCTATCTGGATCTTCCCCCACCTTCTTACCAGACCCATGCAGGGGAAGGTCCTTTGGTGGGAGTGAAGAGACTTTGGCTAGAAGAGCCATATTCAATAATTCACTGCCCCTGCCATTGGGACCCTGTACTCACGTGCACCTTGAGAGCACAGGACGGAACGTAGCCCTTCGAGGCCTGACCTGAAGGGTATGGGCAGGTTGAGCCTCTAGAAGTCTGTTATCTTAAGCTATATGTCTCAAGTATCTTCTGGATCCATTCATGTCTTTAAAAAAACATTCCCTCCCCCCTCCCATCACCGAAGACATAGCAGAGTACAGGAAGGGTACGTATCCCAGGTGCACACATCGACGCACGTTTACAAAGGAACACACGTATAATTGGCGCCCAGATCCGGAAGCACATCTGCCTCCCCTGATTCCTGGTGCCCTGGATTTCCGAGGGCTTTACAGAGGTGGGACTGTGTAACAGGCACTCTTGTAGCTAGCCACTTCGCATCAGCATTACGCAGGTGAGAATTGCTCTGTCGTCGCCGACAGCTGTGGTGGTATTGCAGTCCGTGGTGGATTACACCTCTCATGGGAGAACGCAGAACAGAGCTGCTGTGAGCACACATGCCATCCCAGTCAGACATACCTGGAGCTGCTGGCTCCGTTCTCTGGAGAAGACACTGGAGGGTGTGTCTGGTCCAGCACTGTCCTCTGGGCACTCACTGCCACAAGGGTCCTGGGGGACAGAGAAGCTGAGTGTGATGCTGGAGCCTGTTCTGTTTTCTGCTGTCTGGTTTTCACATGCAGATGGTGCAGATGCTCTTTGTACATGTGGGTGCAGGGCATGGGGGGGTGGGGGGGCAGGTGGTTTCCCTTCACCCAGTGACTTCAATGGCTTTGCAGCTCTTAGAAGGGCTTTGAGCAGCAGCTGAAGGCAGTCCCGGGATCAGCCGTCAACCCTGAGCGCCAAGTCCCCTCCTATCTGAAAGCTTTCTTGTCTGCCTTTGCACATCTGATACACCTGCGACCCAAGTCTGTTCATCTTCCAACAAGAGGGTCCTGATGGCCCAGCGTGCCTGGCACAGCCAGCGGTCCACGGGCATTCCCAGACAGCTCCCTGGTCACAGGCCAGGTCGGACACTGCTGTCTGGCCAGTGGGGCTGTCTGTGTGGAGCAGTCCCGAAGCAGGCTCCCCCCCCCACACACACCATGGTTTGATGCCACGTCTGCACTTTCTGTCCGTCTGACCAGGCTCTACCTGCTCCCAGCTCTCTACCTGCCAGGAACTGCCCCTGGGTGCTCGGCTTGAACTCCCTGTGGCTTTGGCTCTGTCCCATAGCCCTCGGCTGGAGGGCCTGCCAGGTCCACCCCGGGTGTGGAACCACTGCCTGCACCCGCACTGGAGCCCGCTCATCCGGGGCGCAGCAGCACCTGGTCTGCAGCCAGTAGACCTCCCTGGGCATCGCCTGAGTGGGTAGTTTCACTCTCTCGCAGCTCCCCAGCAGACCCCGCCTACCATGGACCCGGACCCCCAGGCCGGCGTGCAAGTGGGCATGCGCGTGGTGCGCGGAGTGGACTGGAAGTGGGGCCACCAGGACAGCGGCGAGGGCGGCGTGGGCACCGTGGTGGAGCTCGGCCGGCACGGCAGCCCCTCAACCCCTGACCGCACGGTCGTCGTGCAATGGGACCACGGCACTCGCACCAACTACCGTGCCGGGTACCAGGGCGCCCACGACTTGCTGCTCTACGACAACGCCCAGATTGGTGTGTCTCGGGCTGGGGCGGGGCAGGGCTGGGATGGGGGGGGCGAGGCTGTCCCCTCTGACCCACCCCGTCCGTCACCGTCCCCAGGCGTGCGCCACCCCAACATCATCTGTGACTGCTGCAAGAAGCACGGGCTACGGGGCATGCGCTGGAAGTGCCGCGTGTGCTTCGACTATGACCTGTGCACGCAGTGCTACATGCACAACAAGCACGACCTCAGCCACGCCTTTGAGCGCTACGAGACTGCCCACTCGCGACCGTGAGTCCTGTGCCCCCGTGGATCCAGCCTTCGGGGAGGGGCAGGGGGAGCCGGGGCCTTGAGACCTGAAGGCTCAGCCGAAACCCCACCGAGACTTGGCATCCAAGAGCTCACAGGCCTGGCGCTGCCACCCCAGGAAGGTGGCGGTGTCTGTGAAACAAGTCCACCGGCGGCGTGGGTGCTACAACCTGGTGCCACTTCAAGAGTCAGCCTAGCCCAGTGCAGTGCGCTGGTGGGGGGCCTGGGGATCTGGCAGGGGGTGAGGTGGGAAGGGAGCAGCGGCAGCAGCCACCCCCGACAGCTCCACACACTGACAAAAAGCTGGAGACACGGGTTTGAGCTCAGAGCCCGCTCCAAGGCAGGGCACCTCATGTGCCCGTGGATGCTTCTCTCTCCCCCAAGCGGATTCCTTTTCAGGTAGGCCACGTGCTAAAATGTGCCTGGCCCAGAAGGAGGCAGGAGACTGCACAGTGAGCCTGGTCCTGGGGAGCCTCCTAACCTGGCATCAAGTCGGGCCTTGGGGAACACGCTTGCTCCAGGGCCGTGAGTCCTGGGTGTCTGGAGGTCCATGGAGCCTCCTTCCAGAGGCTGGAAGGCACTGACCTTCCAGGCTAATGCAGGGCAAGAGCTGGCTCTCAGCTGTGGGTGGGCACTGGGTAAGGAGCAATGTGGCAGGGCCCATTTCAGCCCTGGTATGCCTCTCCTGCAGCATCACCCTGAGCCCCCGCCAGAGCCTCCCAAGGATCCCTCTGAGGGGCATCTTCCAAGGGGCAAAGGTGGTGCGAGGCCCCGACTGGGAATGGGGCTCTCAAGACGGTGAGTGAGGGTCAAGGTGGGTTGGGGTGGGGCTGGGGCAGACAATGATTCACCCTCATGGCGCAGCCTTAGCTTACTAGCACGACTCACACCTCCCTAGGAGGAGAAGGGAAGTCGGGCCGTGTGGTGGACATCCGTGGCTGGGATGTGGAAACAGGCCGGAGCGTGGCCAGTGTGACGTGGGCTGATGGCACCACCAACGTATACCGTGTGGGCCACAAAGGCAAGGTGGACCTCAAGTGTGTGGGCGAAGCAGCCGGTGGTTTCTACTATAAGGAGCATCTCCCAAGGCTTGGTACGAGGCTGGCCCCATGCAACACCACATACACCCCGTACTGCCACCCTCTGCCCCTCCACTTAGCCCCTGGGGCAAATGATGAGATGAAGGGACTCCAAAACGCTGTTGGAAAGTCCCGTGACCTTTCTGTTCCATGTGCCCATGAACTTGTATGTGATATCCTGGCAGGGAGGGGGCCCAGCCTGAGGCCTTCCTGCCACGCCCACAGGCAAGCCTGCAGAGCTGCAGCGGAGGGTGAGTGCAGACGGCCAGCCCTTCCAGCACGGAGACAAGGTCAAGTGCTTGCTGGACACAGACGTGCTGAGGGAGATGCAGGAAGGGCATGGCGGGTGGAACCCCAGGATGGCTGAGGTGAGCTGCGCTCCATCTGCTGTGTCTGTGCGCCCCGCTTCCCTGCCCTGGGCCCCCTCCCCCAAGAGTCCTGCTCGGCCCAGCCATAGCCTCCATGACCACCACAGTTTATCGGACAGACGGGCACCGTGCACCGGATCACAGACCGTGGGGACGTGCGTGTGCAGTTCAGCAATGAGACCCGCTGGACCTTCCACCCAGGGGCGCTCGTCAAGGTACGCCACCATACCTTGAGAGTGGGGGTGGCAAGCAGAGTGAGCCCGGGGCCCTGGAGATGAGTGGGTGGGTTGAGGAAGGAGTGTATTTATCCTAAGGTCCTTGGACTTGAAGCCACCAGTGTGTTTAGAGGGGCAAGTGATACAGCTAGTGTCCTAGATGACCCTGCAGGGAGCAGGGCAGACAGGAATGGATGTGAGGCCACAGAAAGGCCTTTCGGAGCCCAGGAGTGGGGACAGAGCAGAGGGCGGGGCGGGCAGAGGGCTCTTTGGTAGGCATGGGGAGTGAGGAGAGGGCCCTGGATCGGGAATGTGGGGAAGGGAACTGGACAGGGCAGGTGGGTTCCACTCCAGACCTGAGCCACGGATGTGGGGGTGTTGGCAGGCAAGAGGAGAGTTCTTGGCCATTGAGACAACGCTGACTCGTAGCGACCCCCCTGGGGGTTTCCGAGATGGTCACCGTTTCCAGGAGTAGAAAGTCCAGTCTTTCTCCGGAGGGGCTGCTGGTGGTTTCCAACTGCCGACCACTCGGGTCACAACCCAGTGTGTAGCCACTGTGCCACCAGGCCCTAGAGAGCAGCTTTGGACACCATTCCCTGGGCCTCCTGGTCCCCAGGGTGGGGCTTGGCCGTCACCTCCCCAAACTGGCTCTCTGGTCCCTCTTGAAAACCTCCTCAGGCTCTGGGTGGGCCTCTGGCACCGCCCCGGGCAGGGGACCCCCACGTGCTGCTTTGTCATTCAGCACAACTCCTTCTGGGCGGGCGACATGGTCCGCGTCATCGATGGCCTCGATGCAGTGAAGCGGCTGCAGGCCGGGCACGGCGAGTGGACGGACGACATGGCCCCTGTGAGTGCCCAGCCCATGCAGCCCGGCCACCCACCTGCCCCAGAGACGCGCCTGTGACCCCGCACTCTGCCCCCTTAGGCCCTGGGCCGAGTCGGGAAGGTGGTGAAGGTGTTCGGGAACGGGAATCTACGGGTGGCGGTTGGCGGCCAGTTATGGACCTTCAGCCCCTCCTGCCTGGTGGCCTACCGGCCCGAGGAGAATGCCAACCTGGATGTAGCCGAGCGCGCCCGGGAAAACAAAAGTAGGGACGAGCCCGGGTGGCCGGTAGGGTGGTGGGGCAGGGGCTTGTCCGTTCCTTCTGACCTCCACCTTGGTGCTAGGCTCTCTGAGCGTGGCCCTGGACAAGCTCCGGGCACAGAAAAGTGACCCAGAAAACCCTGGGAGACTGGTGGTGGAGGTGGCCCTGGACAATGCGGCCCGGGTGCTGGACCTGCTGCGGCGGCACCCAGAGCTGGTAAGGCCCCAAGACTACCCTTGCCATCCACCCCGCTTCTCCTCCCTTCTTCCATTTAGCCCAAGGGACAGGGCAGTGAGCGCCTCGGGCTGATCTGCTGGATCCCCACAGGTGGACACCAAGAACCAGGGCCGGACCGCTCTACAGGTGGCTGCCTACCTGGGCCAGATGGAGCTCATGCGGCTGCTGCTGCAGGCGCGGGCAGGTGTGGACGTGCCAGACGAAGAGGGCAACACAGCGCTGCACTACGCAGCCCTGGGGTGAGGCCCGCAGCAGGTATGGGGGGGCATGTGGGAGGGGCACTGCCCACTCGCCCAGCACCCCTCACTTCTTCCCCCAGCAATCAGCCAGAGGCGGCCTGTGTCCTCCTGAGTGCGGGCTGTAATGCCGACGCCCTCAACGGCTCCCGGAGTGCAGCCCTGCACGTGGCCGTGCAGAGGGGCTTCCTGGAGGTTGTGCGTGTGCTGTGTGATCGAGGGTGCAACGTCAACTTACCTGTGAGTGCCACTGCCCGGGGCGGGAAGGTCAAGGTGGTGGCTAGGTGGCTTCCCCTCTCAGTGACCCTCAACCCACCCCCTGGCAGGATGCCCATGCCGACACACCCCTGCACTGCGCCATCTCGGCAGGCGCCGGCGCCAGTGGCATCGTGGAGATTCTCACTGAGGTGCCAGGCATCGATGTCACTGCCACCAATAGCCAGGGCTTCACGCTGCTGCACCACGCCTCACTCAAGGGCCACGTGCTGTGAGTGCAAAGGGTGGGTGGGAGCGGGTCAGGCCCCTCGAGACAATCCTCGGGCCTGGCCAGACCTCCCTGTTCTCTCAGAGCGGTCCGGAAGATCCTGGCACGAGCCCGGCAGCTGGTGGATGCCAGGAAGGAGGACGGCTTCACTGCCCTGCACCTGGCTGCCCTCAACAACCACCGAGACGTGGCGCAGATCCTTGTCCGAGAGGTATAGGGCCTGGACCTGCCCAGAGTTGGGGCGTCACCCCCCGTGAAGTGAACCCCACCTTGGGGGCTGAACTGTGCCCCGCTTGCCCTGCCCCAGGGTCGCTGTGACGTGAACCTGCGCAACCGGAAACTCCAGTCCCCGCTGCACCTGGCTGTGCAGCAGGCCCATGTGGGGCTGGTGCCCCTGCTGGTGGAGGCTGGCTGCAGCATCAATGCTGAGGATGAGGACGGGGACACTGCCTTGCACGTGGCCCTCCAGCGCCACCAACTGCTGCCTTTGGCAGCTGATGGGGCCGGGGGGGACCCAGGGCCCTTGCAGCTGCTGTCTAGGGTGAGGAAGTGGGCTGCAGGCCCCAGGTGACTGCCCAAACCTTCCTGGAAAGCCCAGGGAGCCAGCCCACTGGGGGAGGGGGGTCAGACGGGGTCATGAGGTCTGCAGGAGGCGTGGCCTCTGACCCTTCCCACTACAGCTGTGGCCCATGCTCCTGACCAGCCTGGGAGAGGGGCAGATGTGGGGCCCGGGGGGTCGAGGGGGGCTTGGGAAGGCAGCCCTTTCTGTGGAGCTTTTCTTGCCAGCTGCCTGGGGCTTCATTCAGACAGGAAGGGGCTGCCCATGCTGCAGCAGACTAGGTTCAGGCTGGCACCCAGCCTCATCAGGCCCATTTCGCTGCCCAGCTGCAGGCCTCAGGCCTCCCAGGCAGCGCGGAGCTGACGGTGGGCGCGGCGCTTGCTTGCTTCCTGGCGCTGGAGGGTGCCGACGTGAGCTATGCCAACCACCGCGGCCGGAGCCCGCTAGACCTGGCTGCAGAGGGCCACGTGCTTAAAGCCCTGCAGGCCTGTGCTCAGCGATTCCGGTGAGCCTGCGCCCCGAGGGCCGGGGATCCACCACCACCTGGACCCATTCAAACCTCTCCCCTCCTGACACAGGGAGCGGCAGGTGGCAGAGGGCTGCGGTGGCGGGGGCGCGGTGGGTGGACGTCATGTGCTCAACACGCCCAATACGGTGACCAACCTGCATGTGGCGGCAGCGGGACCTGAGGCCGCTGAGTGCCTGGTGTGCTCGGAGCTGGCCCTGTTGGTGCTCTTCTCGCCGTGCCAGCACCGCACGGTGTGCGAGGGTATGTGCCTGCGT